TATTCTAACATCTCATGCAATTCTCTTACAGAGGCGTGTTTTATCCTTTTACAATTCACAACTGTAAAGAATTTCTTGTTTATTCGATTCTTAATTTGAATATTCCACTTACCATGCGTATGTAGGCGCAGAACACGTTGAATTTACCGAGAAAGTGTCTAGGCAACCAGTTGCCTACAACGGTAACAGGAATCGTGTCGTCCTTTGTTTCCACGATGCAATGTTTGGGATCATGAGGAGTTGTCTCGAAGTTTACACCATGACCGTTTTTTTTCAAGGCCATTGCGTCGTCCACGACCAGTCGTCTTTCTGCGCCGTCGATATCGAGATCGAGATGTAGAAACGTAACGCGTGTCATGTTGCGTTCGCGCACGACGAATCCGTTAAACGGCCGTTCTATCTGCGTATTTATTTGTCGGAAAGATGTATGAAATGATTGCGATGCGAATAACCGTATTATCGGTCACACTGGTCACACTACCGTATATTCACTATTCACAGATCGTAACTTTCACTGACCTTCAGTTCCTTTGTTCGTTTATTACTGGCAGACAAAAAGTGTTCGTTTTCTTTGTTACTGGCAGTACTGAAAATTTATAGATTCATGTCACGTATACTATAGATGTTTCAGTACTGCCAATCAAAAACGAACGCAGCCATATATTCAATGAGTGCGTTTAGACAACTCAACAGTTGCACAACGGTTGACAGATAATCACTTATGATTGGATCATACTTTTGGAACCGTATTAGGTTTTGAGGAATAGTCCTATCATAAGTGATCTCTTAACCGTTGAGTTTTCTGAACGTAACCAATAATTCCAATCAAAAAATTATCTACAGAATGGCGTATGGACCAGCTTTAAAGGTACTGAGCCACTACAGCACCAAACCTAATTCCAATCAAACAATGCGATATTCAATATCAAATAAAAATATCGATACCTGTTTGATATTATCAAAAACAGAATATCGATACTAAAATATCGAATATCAAAAGAATTATATCGATATTTTCGATATATCGGTATCGAATGCTCATCCCTAGACCGGCCCACTGGTTTTGCGGCCTGAGTGCAGAGGCTGCGAACTCGGAGGTCCCCCGAGTTCTCTCGAATCCGCTCATCACCTGAGGATTTTTTCCGGACCGATCCCTTTTAACCGAGTTTATAGGTTGATCGGCGAACAAAATCGGGCCTCGAAAAATTTTAATTCGGGTGTAATTCCGAATTAATTCCCCTCCCACAAAGCGATCGTAGTCACAACATCTTGAATACGAGCCCGACACAGATGGACACGCCCACTGTGAAAGAAGACCGTGTATCGCGTGGTGGTGGTATACAGCACAATCCCCTCTTACGTTCTGAGAATATGTAAAAAGACTTATATATAGACTCTGGCGTATGGACTAGCTCTTACAGGCCAAGAAGCCATAAATGCACCAAACTAAACTATCCTAAAGCGGTAGAGGGGATGCGCACAACAGCATGCTGTTGTTGTGCGCATTCTTTCCACTGCTTCAGCATGCTGTAAGAGAACCAAAATTGTGGACACTGGCGGTGGTCGAGCCAATCAGAGATAACAGCCAGCAATTCTTGAAACAATAAAACTTCCCTTGATATCGTTCTCGTTGCAGAACCGAGAATGGGAACGTTAGCGAGAAACTACTGTATTACGTAATCAATGCAAACTTTCAGTCAAACATTCAATACAAATTAATGTAATTGCACTGTGAAGGCAAGGTAACAAAGAGAAAATTACAACATTAGAAATAGTACTTATTACTGAACAATATAAAATAATTCATTCTTTTTTCCAGAACTAAAAAAACTTTTTCTTATAAAAATAAAAAATTATCATTGAACAACATAACATAAAAAAAACAGATTTCTTTTCAAAACTAAACATTCTAGGCCGCCAATTAAAAATAATTAATAAATTAGAAATATTTAATATTTTTAAAAAGCCCAAGACGAAAACGACCCATGTCCGGCGAATTAAGGTGCCGAAAAACACGCCGTTCGTTGAGGGTTAAATGTTTTGTTGTAATTTTTGCTGTTGTAAAAGTTAATGATTATTGTCGGTAAAAAGTATAACAAAGTAATTGGTTTTTCTATGTTTATGTCTATTGTCATTGGTATTGTGTTTATTTAATTTGGTAGAAAACAATGTTTTTATTCAATTAATTTATTGGAGTTACCAATAGAGCTGGAGGTCATACCTCATATCACACTTTGCTAATACAAACTTTATTATAACAGTTCCGTGCTGTACATTCGCGTATGCAATTAAAATATTAGGAAAAGAATAAAAAGTATGGAATAACATACACTTACCTATATTTGTTTTATTTGTCACTTTATCATACATTAAAACATTATATTAAATATTTAGTATTTTCACAACCGTAAGCCGATTCTAAGCATCGAAGTGGCGAAATAGTAGTGTTGCCATTTTATAAAATTATAAGGTGTAATTTCTACTATAATTTGATACACTCTATTTTATAACGGTAAAATAGATAGTAAGCAGTCTTGAAAGTAAGTCGCGAAATTCCCGAGAGATTCTTTTACAAGTCTCAATATCGAAAGTGAACAAAACCATTTGAGACTCTCGAAATTTCGAGAGTCTCGATTCTCGGCATGGATGCCTTAATATACATATACTACACCTACATACGTATGATTTTTTAAAAAGTTACACAACTTTCTTGTCAGTTGTACACGCGTAACAATGAAACTTCGTAAATATGTCTCAAAATATAAAATGGTGAGAAAGTTCGTTAGGTTTGAAAGTGAATTCCGATAGATATATACGTTTGCATTGAAAATTACTGGCAGACAACTGAATAAAGAGCGGTTATTGTGCGAATACTTGCTTATAGTTGCATATAGCAGTCCTTCTTTTTCCTTAGTTTTGTCTTTTCTTGCAATATTTCTATCTCATTCTTTACTTCAGTATACTTCAGTATATTCAGAAAAACACTATATTTTACTGCATCTATACATTTTTTTGTGTTCCTAACAAACTTTCGATACTATTATTTTGAGACTTATTTATGAGGTTTCAATTGTTACACGTATAAAACTGTGACGAGAAAGTTGTATAACTTATTGAAAAACAGTACGTTTGTAGGGGTACATACGTATATATATTGATAGTTCTTTTGTATTTTCTTTGAAAAATGATTTTAGAATTTTACGCTTAACAATGAGCAACTTCTACCAATTATATAAAAGAGAGAAGGAAAACCCAACCATCAGGTTAGGTTAGGTTAGGTTGGTTTTCCACAAAAGCTACTTTTTTTCTTAGAGAACGGTCAAAAATCGGTCTCAGTTTCATTTTAGACTTACTTGGTTAAACATCCTGGACTCTCTCTCTACCACAGATTTAGTAAAAGAAGAACTCTAGTATATTTATAAAATATTTACAAGTTATGTATTTTTATAAAACTTTGAATATATTTTTCTAATGTTGAATGGTAAAACAATAATAGTGCGGGTTATGAGCTAGAAAGCTACATTTTTATAACAAACGGTGATAAAAGTGACAAAATAAACGGAAGTAGCAACGTGATTAGATTAGATAATTTTTATTACGTAATTTATCGTGATTATTTCGTGAATTAAATAGATTGTTTTTGAAATAAGTGACAATGAAACGAAAAAGTAGTGAAAGTGATGAAGAATCAACGAACAAAAAATTAATTGTTTCTTCTAATTCTACAACACAACCGTGTGAGAAAGATACGACAAAAATAGATCCCTCGAGGGCCAAAGCTACATTGCAGAAGTTGTCGGATTGGAGTGCATTTGCTGTACATCGGGTATGCATGCATATGTATTATATGAATACAATTGCTTTCTTTAATTCTCTCTACGAAATCTATCGCAATATCTGTATACAGCTTCTTAAGAGTTATCTTCTCCTTTCCTCACTGTTGTCTTCTCTTTTTTGTCCGCCCACATTGCACATAGTTTTCTCACCTAACCGTGAATTTATTCACTAGGTATACCCAGAGACGAATTGCTTCGATGGTTACATTTCGTTATTCTTTGTTAGTACTGAAAATCTATCTAGTTCACGTGATATATATTATAAATTTCCAGTATTGGCAATAAATAAAATCAAAACGCAGCCTTTATAGAGATAAATATAGACTTTGTTTCGAATAGTAATTGTTAGTAGGTTTGACTGTTTTTTTTTCTTTTTTTATATGTAAACTATTAATGACAACAAAGAAAACCTTAATTTCATTGTATTGAATTTTATTGTAAATAAAATTCTTTGAACATCGGAATGTGTTATGATATCTTTTTCTATTTCTATAATATACTGTGTGTCTACAGTGTTTTTTCTTAATACATGACATAAAAGTAAAATCATGTAGTCGTATAATTTGTTTTTTTTTTAACCTCTTTTAAGCTATACTTATGAACTTCTAAGATTCTCAGTCATATGTGTTGTCATGATGTCAAAAGAGACTGACGAAAAACTTGTGTGTCAACGCACAAGTTTTTCCTCATACTACAAATATTTGTAATTTGTTTGATTAACCATCATTAGATCCATTTTGTGCGCGGAATAGAGTATTCCTAATAAATATTTTGAATTAACCATAACGAGAGCTAAAAAAAAGGTTCAGTGAGATTTTTACAAGACGGAACGGAAGAACCGTGCGGCTGCCGCACGTCAGTATGAACTCTCGCAACGAAGAAACTCGACTTTTTCGCCAATTACCGTGACAGTGACACAGTTCGAGCAAACGAGTTTTCCAGACTGCTTTAATCGAGAGGGAACGCTCGCGCTCGCGCGTGCGCGCCGCGGCGTTTAATCGGTGATCCCCCTCTTCGTGATCGGCGCGCGGTACATGAGTTGCGCGTTTCTTTAATAGAATCTAGACATGTGTCACATTTACGCATTCGTAAAGCGCATTTGTGATCGAATACATTTAACATAAAATTTAATTGCCACGTGTTCTCGTATTGTTTTAAAAAAAAAACAAACAAACAAACGTTTTTTGTTTTGTTTTTACATTCTTTTGCATTATGAAATTATAGATACAGATAATTGTACCTAATTGAAGCTGAGATTTCTAACTTTTTTATTGCCTGTTTTTGTGTGACTCACCATTTCTCTCTTAAACTTATCGTCTTCGATGTCTTTCCGTATCTCTAACTACTTCAATATATAAATCGGTATCTGAAAATTATTCAATAGTCACACACATGATACTTTTGCCTCTCGTTTAACTTCTATCGTTATTAACACAATTAGATTGTACGAACGATTAGGTACTGCGAGCAATTAACCCAAATTGCTGTAGATTATATTGATTGAATTATACAGGGTTGATCGGCAACGTACAATGAGTTTAATTGCGCGTGTCGTGTCGCGAAGTCAAAGATTCGTTAATGCGTCCGATGCGAACAGATCGAACTCTTTCTCTAGCTCGTTAAGACTAACAATTCGACAGCTCGCTCGACGCGCGCTGTATGTTAATATAGGTACGAGAGAAACGGACGACGCGCGATCCGACGTCGCAACTGCGAAGCTTATCACCGTCGACGCCGCTGTGACGTGCGTATCGCGCGCACGGCTTTGCGGCATTAATTAGTCGACGACCGGAGTGAAGACAACTGGTCGGCAAGGTCGCGCCGTCGCTTGCTCTGGACCCTCTTCGGCGACAGCTGACAGCCGACATACGCGATTCTGGTAGTACACACCTTTCGCTATTAATCGCACTGCAAACGTTTCCTGTGCGCAGCGGTGCTCATATTCTCATAGCCGCAATAACGCCAGAATTAAGCGTACTATTGTAAGTTTAGAGACTTTGTGCGCACGGAAGCACACAATACGTTCGATCTCAATTTGCATCGTATGCAATTTAATGTTTTATTATGTATATTTTATTATGTATAAAAAATAATTTAGCACAAACCTAATTTGGAGCTTAGACTTAGGTTGATATGTATTTGATAAATTATTCTTCATTCTTTTAAAAATGAGACAAAACTAATTTAAATATCCGATATAAAAGATCTTACACTCTGTAGTATCCACGGGAGGAGGTGGTTATAAATAATTGAATTATTTATAACCACCTTCTCCCGTGGATACCTACTACAGGCTGTAAAGTCTTTTATATCGGATATTTTACAGTATTTTGAGGCATGTTTGTTGTTAACTAATTTAGATAATAGGAAATAGGTAAGCGAATAATATGTTAAGCGAGTGAGACTAGTCCCTTTGTGTCACCTAGATCTTTTAGGATCCTCTGCGACTCCCGCTAGTTTATTTACCAAGCTGCTTCAGCTCGGTATTTTCCGCTAGGCTATACAAGACCGATCTTGTTATTATTCCTTGGACTCCAAAAATATATAGAAACGAGAAATCTGAATCTTAGAAGTACTAGATACGAACAACGACACAAAATGTGCAGGCTTTCTTTTTTTTCACTCAAAACTAATTGAAATATATTTTTTTGCTTCAAAAATATTTATCGAAAAAAAATGCGTAAGACTAGAAATCGATACGTAAGCAGAAATTTTCTATTCTGCGGAGTGTACAACAGATGTTTAGTTCTTGTATGAAATGTTCCCAAGAAAAATTCTCAAGGTTGAAGAGAGAGGACGCAAAAAGAGAAAACATGATAAAAAGGAGATTTATTACTACCATAAAATATGGTAGTAATAAATCACGCATTGAATAGAAAAGGTAACATTCCGCACATTCTTCGAGCGAACTTGAAAACTGTCTCGTTATCCTTGAAAAATAATTTTTCTTTCTTCTCAAGGAGAAGGCACAATGTATGATCAATCAATTTTGCCGAAACTTTTTCTATCAATAGGTCACTATGCCAAGTTTTACAAGGTAAACGCATAAGACGCACTAATCAAGCGTTCGCGAGAAAATTGCAGTGTCTAGCACGCTATCGCTGCGCCACGCGCTCTTTGATAAAACGCTCTATTTCATTTCTACTTATGTCGC